CCGGTGCTGGCCGTGCCCGCCCGCTCCGGCGGCAGCCGCGCTCCGAGCGCCGGGAGAGGCGCGGGCGGGAGGCTCCCCGGCAGCCTCCCTCAGCGTGCCCCCTCGCTGGATGGAGCCCGGGGCTGCCGGGGATGCGGTGCCCGCCGCGGGGGCTGGCGGAGCGGCTTGAGCCCCCCGCCCGGCGGAGGCGAGCATGTCCAGTGAGCGGCTTAACAAGACAGCGGTGAAGGATGCGCGGTTAAAAGACCTGTTGTTGGAAAGAGGTACCGGCGCGTCCGCAGGGGCAGGGACCGGGRATGCGGCTCCGGAGCACCGCACAGCCCGGCCCGCCCGGGAGCGCTCGCCGGCGGAGCCGCGGGGTCTGTGCGGGGGGAGGTTCGGGTCTTGTGTCATTGCTGATAGGGGTATAAATTTCTCTCTTTTCGAGCTCTCCTGAGAAGGTGATTTAATTCAACGTGTAGTTAGTTGCGTTTTCCGTGTTGGGCGTTTACCCTGAAACGTTGTGTTTGCTTTTAGGGGTTTTTTTCCCTTGGAGAGTTTTTATTAAAAATACTGTTTCTTGCGTTTAAAGAGATGGGTATATGTGAGTGTGACAGACTCGGGGTAGTAAAACCGTAGCATTTCTCTTTCTGAAGCTCTCCCCGGTGTCTTTGCTAATACATTTATAGGAAAAGTAGGCAGAGGGAGATGTCTGTCTGGAAGGCGGTGGCCCTTCACGCCTGGCAGGTGTTGGGCRGTGGGGACGTGGTGGGGGCCGGGGTGACCCAGTGCCTGTCAGCAGCCGCCAGGAACTATTTAAATGGCCTTGATCAGTGCCAGCAAATACAGACTGCTGCTGCAGTATATCTTTGCTTTTTACTGCTGATAACCGAATGAGCAGCAGGAATGCACTCAGGAGGAAGAAGAGATTTAAAATTATCTTTCTTTTCCCCATGCTTTCTATTGAGGAAATTCTCTTGAAAATCAGTAAAGTGTTTTGTTGCAGTTTGATGTTTACAGTGTAAACTGGACTTGGGAAATCCCATGTGCTCACAGYTCTGTGCTGTGGTTTTAAATTTCTTAATTGCATGGCCGTGTTTTAATCAAACATTTTCAAATTATTCCTTTGCAAGGGAAGTGCCCACAGAGGAATCACTGATCTGTAAGGGAGAAGTAGTGTCCCTTGCCACTGAAGTGCAGGGGCCTCGATAAATTTAGAAGACTGCCCTTGGCAAATAGAGAAGTAACATGTCATTCTAGTGATCTGTGCATTCTAGGAAAGCCTAAGTCAACATTGSTTGTTTTGCATGTTGCCCTTTAGCAACAGTCTCTCAATTTCCAGTCTAAAGTATGACATGGACCCAAAAAAAGTTTGGATGAAGAAACCCTTGAGTACTTCAGTAGCCACGAAATGTGAATTACAGAAGTTGTCAACTGTGTACAGAATTTATTCTGTGTTTCTGAGCCAAGAAAAACTGACTTTTAACTTAAATGTGGTTTGGGTGGGTTTATTTTTTAATTAATTCTGTGCTTCCTGCTTTTTGATCTTTTGGTGCTGACATTGTTAGCTTCCAGTGACGCAAGAGAGGGGAAAAAGAAAGATCTCAGCCCTGCATGTGGGATTGATAGCAAAAGCAGAACACAAAGCACTGACTAACCAAATTCTTTGAAAATGTTGGTGGTCTTAATGATGAGTGTAAGGTACTTAACAGCAAAGAGTGATAAAGTGATAGACACATTTTTGCCCTTTACTCTTTCCTTAGCTTTACATGGGCTTAGTTACTCCGAACAGATGATTGTAGACCCTCATCCTTTTGGTGGTGTGGCTGTGCCTGCCAGTAGTTTGTGCCAGACAGCTGGCCCTTGGCACTGGCCTCCACTGGACACCAGCACACTTGCAGCTCCTGTASTCTGAAGTTTTGTTCACAAGAGATTTTAGAAAAATGAAACAGCCTTTGGTTTCCTTTGGTTTCCCTGCGGGTTCGTCTTGGATTTTATGTGTGAGTGGCATTTTTCTAGCTCAGCTTCATAGTTGTGTTGTGTCTGCACAAGTGTGGTGTTGTCACACAGAAAGCTGAGAGTGGCTRCAGATTGGAGATGAGGGGGGAAGGGGGCTTGTTTCCTGATATTTGCTTTGTCCTTTCATTTTCATATGTCATCTCTCTTTCCTTGTTAATTTTTTAAAACAGGAATTTAATATAAGTTTCCCAGAGTTCATGTTTTTGCATCCAAAAAGTAGTGCCGTTTTCAGAAACTACTGAAACTGAGCAACTTGTGCTGCTTCTCTGCTTTTTCTACCAGCCTAGCAACCAAAGCCCTCCTCCCATTAACTGGAGTTGCCTTTCAAGATGAGAGCATCCYCTGTGAGCAATGCAGTTTCCATAGAAATATTACCAACTTGGTAACTCCAAAGGGCAATTTTTCCCCTTATATTGCTCATCCTTGCTGCTCCAGTATAGCCAAAAGGGTGCAAGAGTGACTCATTTCTAAATATACTTAATATTTGTGGTATAGGCAGGGCTTCAGACAAGAGGATGGGCTCTGATAGAGTTGATTGTAATTGTATCTCTTGCAGCAACTGAGGCCGTGGTTTCATTTTTTCCATGGTGGAACATACCTTGTTTTAGAGTCCCAGATCTCTTTTTAGATTTTTACCTGAAAGTCCTAGAAAAGTTAACGTTACACTAGCAGGAGAGAAGATAGTAATTGAAAAAGACATTGCTTGTAGTTTCAATAGGATAAAAGTCTTCCACTCTAATTTAAAGGCTTTCATGCTATTTACTTGATAAAAAAATAAGGGTAGTGTACTAGATAAAGTGTCCTGATTTCTCTCAGGCTTTGAAGCTTATGGAACCCTCTGGACTCTGTTGGCATTGCAGGTGGCTATTAAAATAGCGTGGAGTTTGTGTGTAAGTGGTTTCTTGGATTTTTAGTTCAATTTTTTCTTCCCCCCACCCCCCAGTGAAATTGTGTTGTCCAGARGGCTTGTCTGTGGTGTTTATGTTGCAGAGTGTATTACCTATGAAGGCTGCAGAGAAGGATCACCAAGAAGCTTCTTAGTTTTGTCCTGCAGCCGCTCATGCTGATTGATTTGCTCTGACAAAAATTAAATAATTTTCATGCTTTTTAGAACAGTTTTCTTCAGAAAACTTTGAAGAATGGGCAGCATTAGTATCTTATGCCAGATCAATCTCAATGAAATACTGAGGGTCTTTTCAGGTTGTTGCTTTGATGGTTAACATTCTGTGTGTTGGTGACACTTTTCCTCTCTTTTTCTTTGTTTTAGCTGAACTGGAGTTTGTTCAAATCATCATTATAATCGTGGTTATAACTGTTATGGTGGTAGTGATYATCTGCTTGTTGAACCATTACAAACTCTCGACACGCTCCTTTATCAAYCGACAGAGCCAAAGCAGAAGACAGGAAGAAACTCTGCAGACGGTGAGTGTGAGCCCCTTGCACCAAACTCATTTTCCTTGTGCTGTACAGGTCTGCAGCAAAGCCTCCCAAAGAGCTCTGGTACAGGCAAGTGCTGGAAAAACTTCTGATAGCATTTTTAATACTCTCTGTGGTTGGGTCTTTTGCCACAGTTGTAGTTGTCAGTAGAAAAACAAAGTTGGAACACAAATTTAAGGTGCACTGCCTTTGATTATTTTTAGACCCTGCTATGTTTTAGGTAGCCTATATTCATTTTGCTTTTGGAAGCTTAGGTGTGACATTGTGTTTGCTGCTGCTGTAATTTGAGAGGGGAGGGGAAGGGGAATTAATGGAGATTAGCTGGGGTACAAAGATTTGAAATGCATGTTGTTATGACTTTCCGTGTATTGACTGATACCCTAGAGTTTTATCACTGTTACTGTTTTGTGAAGCTGCAGTTTGCTGGATTAAAACCACTGTCCCAGTAAGGGCCCAGGAAAATGTAATGCTTGTTTTGCTAAAACAGCAAGAAGAGACTAGAAAAAGGATCCCTCCAAGGACCTGGAGTGCTTAAGATGTGTTGTTAGAGAGTCAGAGGCTTAAGATGGAGCCTCAGTCAGTACTTGTTAGGACTATTTAGTCAACCCAGTGGTAAATGGGCAYCTAATTTGCTGTTTGAGCCAGGAATTTGCTGAGTGGGATGCTCTGCTCCTATGTGAGGGTTAACCACAGTGTGTCCCTGACCTTGGGATATCCCCCACAAGCCATGCAGTGTCCTGTAGTGTTGCWGGGAGGTCCTTTCTTCTGATGTGCTTTTCAGTGTCCCAGAGCGGTGCCCTTGGCKTCTTTGCTGACAGCAGTGGCCAAGGGGCCATTTATGAAGTTTCCTTTTGATGCATTGAAGTCYTAGTAACAGTGTTGAGTTCACAGCTTCATTTTGCTGTCAAAAAAAAGTCTGATTTTGTAACTGAGATATGTGATCTCATAATGGTTTACACCAGTTCTAAYGCCACAGTCTCACCTTTTTATCCATCCCAGCCTTATGTTTCTTTCCTCTTTGTGCTCCTTGGGGAGCTGCCAGGTGAGAGGCCTCAGGGGACTGCTCTGGCTGAACATTAATTGCTTGCTTTTTGCTCTTGCCTTTTTTTTTCCCAGTTAGATTTCAGCAGGGGAGGGAGCCCTGACAGGGAAGGAAGCAGCAATGCCACAGAGGCTGCTGTGGAGCTGCATCCCTGGCAGTCCTGGAAATTGGCAGCTCCCTCCTGAAAGCCAGCTGTACAATGTGACAAGGCAGGGTTCCCAAAGCTTTTTCTTAGTACATCACCTGTGCCCTTTTGCTGGAGGAATTGCTTCTACCTTGGAGGCAGTGGGGGGAGGAAAGGAGCTGCCTCCTCAGGGAGAGGTTGCCTCATTGCTTGGCACTTCAGTAGTGTAGGAATGCTTAGCTCTACTTTGGTTACAGATGAAACTGGAACTTGTCAAACCTTAACCTCGTGGACTTGAGGACTGGAAAAATTGACTGGATTAATTTGAATGTTGCTTTGAAATGGACACTGTAATTCAAGAACCACAATTCTGTCTGAAAAATGTTAGCTATAATTGCTACAAATGCCTGAAATGAAATAGTTTGAGATAAATGAAATGCATTTTCATCTTCACAAATCTTTTAAAACTGTAGTAAGCTGTCAAATGCATGAAATAACCCATTATTTCCTCTGTATGGTTCATTAGTATTGTCTGTTATCAGAGCTGGTGGTTGGTATTTTTTTTTCGTTTTTTTTTGTTTTTTTTTTTTTTTCTCTGGCACAAGGGAGAAAACTTCACCGTTTTATGAAGAAGAACACACAATTTGGCAGCAGGGACTTGGGAGCCGCTTTAGTACTCAGAACTGATCTTAAATCATTTTTAAAACACTGACTCAGTTTCAGTTTGATGTCACCATTATAAGTAACGATAATCACAGCCAAGTGAGCACTTCATGGGAATTGATGATGGGATGGCAAGAACTGGTTACTAATTCTTYTGAAAGCCTTTGGTATAGGTTTGTCATCACTATTACTCATCTGAATTTCTGATAAGCTGCAGCTCTTCTTACAAGAAGGTCATGCTTGTGGGGGATGGGGCTTTAGAGGTCTCTGAGTTCAGATGTCAAAAACTTTAAATTGTCCTTTGTCTCAGGTGTTAGAAGGAAATTCTGATAAAAACTGTCTTTGTAGTGCAAACCTTAAAGGCAGTGTGCAGAGCATGATTAACCACTGATGTCTGAAGAAAATACTGTTCTGACTCAGGTCTCTCCGTTGGTGGAGAAAGAGTGAATGGAAATAGAGGGAATTCAGACATGTTTCTTSAAAGAGAATGGTACAGCAAATAATTGACTACTGGCTAGTTCCTGTAKAGAACTCTGAAGTGAACCCCCCTTCATGTAACTGAGATAGCAGAGGTGGATCAGGATGTAGAATCCAACCTTTCCTGTTCAGATGGGGCGCTTTTTTTTTTCTTGTTAACTTCAATTTTCTGTTTCTTCAAGCCTGTCCTATTTGTAGGTAATCATGTCTTCCACCAGCTAAGTGGGGGCTGAACTGCACAGGTTTCTGGCCTTGTAAAGACCAGCTATTGAACAAGTGATCTCTCTTGTTCTGATACTTCTGGAGAGTGTAATAGGAGTGATTAGGTAAATTATCTATTGCCTTTATTAACAGCCTCACACCTGTGAGACTCATGGACTAGGCGTCAGAAATAATGTAATAAAATATATTAGTGGATTTCCTTTTCTGGTTGAACTTCTTCACATTTAAACAAACAAAAAAAAAGAAAAAAAACAACCCCATGCTAACATCCTCAAATAAAACAAACAAAAGAGGGTGGTAATGAGAAATTCGACTTCCAGGCCAAGTTAGAAATTAGAATTTTAAAAAGATTAAATCCCTGCAATCAAAGGTGTTAACATTTGAAGTAATGTTTGAAGGGCAGAAAAGGGACCAGTCCTAGAAAAACAAAGGTTGATCTTTGGCAAGTGCACACTGAAAAGTTGTTGTTATGAGCCTGTTCCGTAAATACGCTTTTCTATGTGACCACAAGTTCAGCTTTATCTTTTTTCTTTATTTTCTTATTTTCATCTCTCTGGAGTATCATCTTCCAGTCTCTCCCCTTGTCTTAGGGATTTTATTACCTTGGTTATTGGGCCAAGGCCTTAAGCCGATCACAGCCAAGGGCAGGACAARCACTGGGTGCATCTGCAGCAGTGCTGAGGATGCTGCCTACCCTCCCATGGCAAGCCCTGCCTTCTCCTAGTGATGCTATTAAACATTCCAARCCTATTTTAACATTAGGAGGAATAAAAGTTTTGGGATCATAATTGTGAGAGGTGGAAAGATGCTGAGTGACAGGCATATTRGTATGAGCAGCAGCCTGGAGTGAGCCTGCAAGGTGCTGAGCAGTGTCCCTTTGACACTGGATGAAATACTGGGTATTGTTCTGCTKCTGGCTCATCCCTCAGCCGTGTTGGGCTTCACAGCTGGGAGCAAGCCAAGGGTTGCAGAACACCCGAGAGGGCTGTGAAGGCTGTAGGGTGTAGGATACACCAGGAGCATGCCCAGGGCTGTTTCAATGAAACAACAGAACCTGTTGTGTGGGAGCAACTGATGCTGCTGGCGCTGCTGGGGGATTTTGGGGCAGAGCCACGTGGCAGCCTTGGAAAGGCACATCCTTGCACAGGGTATGTGTGTCTGCTGTCCAAGGAGAGATGGGTGTGGTGGCGTGTCTGGCTGTGCATTTGGAGGGTTGAGCTGGTATCAGGAGGGCCGTGTTGGTAACCAAAGTGTCCTGCTGGAGTGTGGGTAGCTGCAGCTGAGCTGCTGCTGTGGCACTCTGCTGCTTGCTGGGACAAAACACAGATAAATCYTGCTTCCCGATGATTAACTCTTAATGTCATCACCAGGGACTTCCATGGGGACATTGAGGGGAAAGAGATTAACTAAGTGACTTACAAGGAGGTACTTAATGAGCTCCTGATGTTCCTAATTTCATTCCATTTCCCCATCATGGTGTTTTTGCATTGTCTGCTTCTATAAAGTAGATGTTGAAGGAGTGCTGAACACTTGGACTGCCCCAGGCCYACTCCTGGCAGCAAATCCCTGCATCCATCACACAAGATGCTCACCCTGACCAGCTCCTGCCTCCCAGCACGGAGGGCAGCCTTGCTGCTCGGGCTAGTCAGCTTGCATTAGAACCTGAGTTGGTAATGCCAATCTCGGATGCCAAGCTCCGGGAGCACAGCAGTAAAAAATGCTCCCCTCTGCCCTAGACCAGCTATTTCAGAATGAAAGGGGAATGTTAGGGGAGTGACGGAAAATAGAYAATATTGACAGCTCAGGGACTTGTCAATAATTTCAAATGTTAGTCTTTCCTGCTGGTCTTTTAAATTATTTCCTACTGGCATTATTCTGTTTGTTCCCTGCTGGTGTCCCTGGGCCACTCACTCTCGTTTTCTTACTGACATATGCAAAAGAAAATCCTACTGGGAACAAGAACTSAGTCTACAGCCAGGAGAGAGTGTGAGTGCTGTAGACCACCCTGCTTTGCCAAATCKTTTTGTTTGTACCAGTCATCATTTGGCAGGGGCTGTATGTGCACTGTATTCTCCTCCTGTCTCCTTGAGGGACATGGGCTCGCCTCTCCTCAGGGAGTGCTGCCAGGAGGGACAGCGAGCATAGCTGCTGCTCTTTGAAGTCTACCACAGCAAAGTCGTCATATCTTTAATAAGGGCAGGATTGCCCAGGAAATCTGCAGGTTGAACTAGAAGTGAGGAGCGCTGGCTTTGGATGGCTCCTGACTCGGTATGTCACCTTGGGCAACTTGCTTCATCGCCAAACAAAGGAGGAAGGATAATAGCACTTACTCCCTTCAGTTGAATGAAATGAAGATTACTTAAAGTGATGAAGTGCTGTGAAGGTGGGGAAATAAAAGTTTTAAAGCATTAAGTAACAGTAATAATTGCAGTAARTGTAGGGCGGCAGATTACGTGTGAGAGATTTGGCACTCTCCATAAAATTCTCTAGTACTTCTTGGTACTGTGCACTGCTCTGTTAGACAGCATCACCTTTTCTGCCCTTGTGGAATAGCTTCAAAAGGAATGAGCAGTCCTGCTGGAATACTCATCATTCTGTTAGGAACAACACAGTAGTGTGTTTTGCTTGTGTTTGTTGCTATCTTCAAAGCTGTSGTGGTCTGTATCACCCAGGAAGACAGGAAGGAATGAGCCCTTGTGCCTTCTCGAGTGTTTTCAGCAAGCCACTGCTTTAATGTGGTGTAATGTACCACCTAGGGCCAAAATCAGAAACTGCACTGCTGTCTGTAACATTTTACTTGCAAAAGAAGTGTGTATGTTTGTGTGTGTGTGTGTACATTTGTATATAAAAATAAAATAAAGGGAAGGGGAAAYAAGGTTAAGGGAAAAAGAGAGATGTTTCTAATTATTGCAGTGCATTTTAGAAAGTGAAAAACTGACTTTTGTTTCGCAGAAAGCATAATCTCAGGCAGAGTTCTATTTCACCGAAACATAATAGGGGAGAAAGCCTGAAAATCTCCTTAACAGTCAGCAAAAAAAGAAAAGTTTGGATTATAKGGGATTGTCGTGGTTTAACCCCAGCTGGCAACTAAGYACCGCACAGCCACTTGCTCCTGAAAATCAGGAGGGTAGAAGTGAGAACTCATGGGCTGAGATAAAGATGGTTTAATAGGGAAAGCAAAAGGAGGAATTTATTCAGCACTTCCTAGGGGCAGGCAGGTGTCCATCCATCTCTAGGACATYAGTGCTCCAGYGWGTAACAGTGAYATGGGAAGACAAATGTTGTTGCTCCCAAAGTCCCCCTTTCCTTCTTCCTCCCCTGTCTCTATATACTGACCATGAAGCCATATGGTCTGGAATGTCCCTTTGGTCAGTGGGGTCAGCTGTCCTGGCTSTGTCCCCTCCCAGCTCCTTCTGCACCACCAGCCTCCTTGCTGATRGGGTGAGGTAAGGAGCAGAAAAGGCCCTGACTCTGTGTAAGCACTGCTCACCAATAATGAAAACATTGTTTACCTTACAAATCCAAAATATGGCCCTATACTTGCTACTATGAAGAAAATTAACTCTATCCCAAYTATAACAAGCACAGGGATCCTTTTGCTTTACTATGGTTTGAGGAAAATTTGTTCCTGAGTGTAAATTTTTACCTAGAATTTCCCCTCAGTTAAAAGTTATTCCTCTAGTAAATGTCTTTCCTTCAGCTGTCAGTGGGCTGGTGCTCAGTTGAGGCAGTGGGATGACTCCAGTGTTGAAAAATGTCCTCAAAAAGTCATTTTCCTACCCTGTTTAATTCTAGAGGCTCTTAAGCTTTGTAAAATACGAAATAGCAAATTATCCTAGGCTTATGGAGTCTCCTAAGCTCTAAATATTAAATAATCATCACCATGAGATAATTAAGTAATCACTCAGCTGGATTTATTAAATGGTGCTRCTATTTCAAAACCTAATCGCAAAATTAATTTCTGTAAATTATGGTGAAACCCAAAAATGGCAATGGTCAGCAAAWGACAGAGGTGGATCCCTAAGATTTTTCTTGCTTGGTGTTATTGGTAGGTGCTAGGATCTTCATTCCAAAGCATAACAATGTTGCAAAGGAATGCACTGTAGGGAATGCACACGTAAGCTTTATCTCCCTGTTGCTTTTAAGTGTTGAAGCTCATGTGTGAAGTCTCTTGAACAAGGAGCAAGTTGAGGTGGCCTAGCTGTTGACAGCCTATCAGAAGCAGGTAAATGAGATACTGCCCTCATCAAAATATGGGTAAATTACATTTGCTCAGGTTTAGCCTTGTTTGCACATACCTGATAACTACTTGTGCAAATCCCTRACATAAATACAAATGCTGTCAGTTCTCATCTGGTTTTCACTGCTATGAGTATAGGGGAAGCATTTTAGCTTTCAGAGGAAGATCTGTAAGCACAGGAACAAGCAGAGAACAAAAAAACAATGCTTTCCSTTGGTGTAAGTAACCCCAGATTGTTCATGGTGGTCCGTGCACATTATTTCTTAAATCTGCATCTCGGAGTGGACGGGGGTAGTCATGGGGATATTTTTCTTCAGCAAAATTTCCTTCTCCTTTGAACCCCTTGCTGTCGCCCCAAGAACAGTGGAGTTGTTGGGCCTCAGCCCTTGGGTTAGGCTGGATCTACCTGGTGCAGAAAAGGGAGTATTTCCCTCAAATAAAGACTCAAGGAAGGTAGGTAGTAGGTCTCCTGTGGTAGATGCAGAGATTTCAGGAGGGCAGAAATTCCTGTGTTTGGTTGGTGAGTCTGGAGTTGGTGAGGAGAGAATTCTGTGCTGTGTCATTGGACCAGCCATGGTAATGTTGGTCTGCACATGTGTGAGCCTGGTATTTTCCAAGTGTGGGCATGCTGAGCACATGTTCCCCAGCCATCTGCTTGGGGAGTTCTGGCTCCTGGGATAGAGATCTTGCTTGGGTTTGGCTGCTGCCAAATGATTTATTGTTTGCTGCTCTCTCTGGGGGAAACCTTATAGAAGGGAGGAGCTGCAGGTGAACTCTAAGACATATTGTCACAGAAGGATATTGTTGTATATCCTTGTATCCTAAGGATCCCGTAGCCTTAGAGTTCAACTGCATCCCAAGCTGTTTACCTTCTCAAGCAGTTATCCAAGAGTGGGGAGAGCCTTGKGCTCCTTTGGTGTCATCTTGGTGTGACTATCCCAGAGCCCTGGTTACACTCTGTGGGACCCCTGTAGCAGCTCCAGTGCCTCCAGGTAGGACCTTTTGCTGCTCTGGGATTCAGGCATCAGCAGTAGAAGTAACAGGCAACTCCTCTCTTGTAACAAGTTATTTTTGTTAGGCATGGCTGGTACCAGATCTGGGAGTCTTGGCTCTGTGAGCAGGTCCCGTTCCATCTCCATGCAAGGAGTTGTTCTCCATATGCTGCACTGTCTCCCTTAGCTCATCTTACTCTCTTGCCTTTGGGGAGATGGGCCCTAGGATGGGAGTTGTTTTCATTTCATAAAGGAGTTTAAATAGTATGAGTGGTGGGGGTAGATTTTTTTTTTTTCTGTGTTGGGTCATTGGTTTCACCTTTCTTCAGAGCCTGTGGTTCAGGGGCAGTTAATTGGGAGCTTTTGCTTTGACTAATGTATTTTACAAACATTTGAAATGGGTTTGGAGCCTGTTGGGTCAACTGCTGATAACCTGATTGCCTTCAAATGTACAAACATACCCTCCGATATTTCAAAGAAGGGCACCCACCTGGCTGCTGAAGGAATGGCAAGGAATGTGTGTACAAGTACGTATATACATGCATATAGTTACACAGTTAGAAATTCTTCAATTGACAGAGCTTATCTAGGCACTGAAGTACACGAATCTGCATAAGATTTGTCTTTCACATCTTTGCAAAGGGGAATACTTGGGGAAGCTGTAAATAATTACAATTGTCAGCCTCTATCTTTGCTTTTTAAAGCAACTGAAAAAAGTGTGCCAGCTTTGTTATTCAAAGCATTTCCCTTAGCAGCTGAATCCTGTGGGAGAGTCCTCTTAGAGCAGCTTTCCTCTGCGGTGGACTCTCCTGACAAGATCACAGACGGCTTTTGGTCTCCGAGTGTCATGATGAACATCTAGTTGGGTCTATTTTTACATCTGAAATATGTTGAAAGATGCTGTGGTGAGAAGAAGCAGTACAGTACGATTTGGAAGCAGTCTATACATGGTAATGCTTTTGGGGACAGTATGCATTTTYCTTCCAGTTCCTGAAATTTCTTATGTCTGTAAAACTTGAATTAGCATCAAGAAAATAGTCATGACGATACAATATTTTGATTTTCTCTCAGTGCACCAAGATTGAAGTTCTGTGCTTTATAGCTGCTCTGATATGTCCTTTTCAGCTTCAGAATTTTCCAGTAAAATAAATTCATTGCAGGAGTTACTGCTAATCGGAGCAATTRATTGAGAAGATAATGATACACCTTAAGCTATTTTCCCTGTTGACATACTGTTTTTTCCCCTTTTATTCTGCCCTGAATGCTGGTACAATGTCAGAACAGCATTTTGAGGCTTGAGAGAGAAAATACTTTGACCTGAGAAGGTGGTTGGAGAAGTGAATGGGGGAACTGATGGCTGAAACCTCAGCTGTTTTAACTACTGTTTATGGTGGGAATTGGGCAACTGAGAGTTTTGACCAGATTATCCCTGGGTTTAGCATGTCTGTCACTTCATTGAGATTACAGACGCCAGGTTTTGTTGTGAACTCTTCTGCCTGTGGTGTGTAATTGGGATCCTGGCTGGCAGGTCAGCTTTGTCAGACATTGATGGTTTGGGAGGTGGCAGGTGCTGAGGTGGCTCCTGTCATCTCCACATGTTGCCACACTCTTGTAGCCACCACCGATTTGCTGCATCCTTATGGCCTGTGGGGCTGGGTGCTGTGGGTGACATCTAGGCACTTGCAAAATGAACCAAGCTTGGCTTGCTTGGGAGCAAAGCTGCTCTTCGTTCGTATGTTGGAAAGAAAGGGCTGGGATGTTGCTTTYTACCTCTTGGAGACAGCCAGTCCTTAGAAGCTGACTGCTGGTAAGAGCTGTGGTATCGAGGCAGAATGGTGATGTGATATATTAATTTTTCGTCTTTTGTTGTTTTTTTCCACATTTCAGGAGGGGTGCTTGTGGCCTTCAGAAAGCTCGGTTTCGCGCCAGGGTGCTTCAGAGGTACTGGCAGATTTCTGACTATCTTCACCAATGTGCTTTCTTYTTTTCCTGTAATGTGTATTTGGTTCCTTTCAAAAACATGCATYTATTTTTTGTCAAGAAAGCTTTTTCAGTGTAGCTCATGTGGTTATTCCAGCCTGCCCCAACTCCCATTTCATAAATGCCTGAGACCTTTTCATTAAAAGAATSAAATTCTGCCTACCTGACACCTCATCTCCATCAGCAACTCCCTGTGTCATAGTAGGYATTTACAAGTAAGTGGTGGAGGTGTGTCTCTTTCATGGAGTGGCTCAGGAATTTGAGTAYTCATTGGAAGCTGGGAGACCAGTTCCTCTTGTCCCTGAATTTTTCTTGGATTTACAACCCGTATCCCATCACCAGTGTCTCTCACAGCTAGCACAAATCCCTGGTCTATGCAATAATTTGTGAACAGTTTGATAGATCTARATCTGAGAAACTGCTGTGTCTGTCCAGACCTGGGATAGACCAAGTGAGGCGCAATAGCACCTCACAGAGTGTCTTGAACTCTTCCTTTTGTAAAGCCTGGCCTTCTCCAGGGTTTAACATGCCCGGGACATATTTTCCATCACAATGCAGAAGCCTTGTGGGTTTTACACAGAGGCTGAGTGCTGGCTGAGAACTGAGGGGGAGGAGGACAACTGATACACTCTGATAGTGAAGGCGTGAGATATGCCAAGCCTTTGCAAAATGTACTAAGTGACCATCTGAATTCTTTGGTGATGCATTAACTCTTGAGTAGGAGGAGGAAGGTCTGACTGCAGTTGAAATCCAGTATTGGGACTGGATGTAGAACTAGTCAATTATAAAGACTAGAGAGAATTCCTTTCTTGTGTTCAGAAACAGAGTAATTTGCTTTTGCTTGGAATGTTTTAATGGCAGAAGGAGCTGTGTGGGGTCTTGGTCTTCCTTGGTGAAGCTGTTCTCAAATGTGATGGATCCTTCCTGCACCTCCTGCCTCTTCACAYGCACGCTTGTGGCAGCATGTGTGCATGGTATCTGCTGGGTTTAGTCTCTGATTCAGGTGGCAGAAGGAAGCTTTCTGTGTTTTACCAGCTCATTGTACATACAGTATGCCCGCAGTGCTCTGCGCAGACGTGGAGTCACGCGTGTCTCTCTTCCCGTTTCAGATCATGTACGCCCCAAGGTCCAGGGACAGGTTCACCACCCCGTCTTTCATGCAGCGGGACCGTTTCAGTCGCTTCCAGCCCACCTACCCTTACATGCAGCATGAGATCGACCTTCCTCCGACCATCTCCCTCTCGGACGGGGAAGAGCCGCCGCCGTACCAGGGCCCGTGCACCCTGCAGCTCCGGGACCCCGAGCAGCAGATGGAGCTCAACCGGGAATCCGTCAGGGCGCCGCCCAACCGAACCATTTTTGATAGCGACTTGATAGACATCTCGATGTACAATGGGGGTCCCTGCCCACCCAGCAGCAATTCGGGCATAAGTGCAACCAACTATAGCAGTAATGGAAGGATGGAAGGACCACCCCCGACGTACAGCGAGGTCATGGGGCATTACCCCGGCTCCTCTTTTTTCCATCACCAGCACAGCAACATGCCTCCTTCCTCGCAGAGGGGGAGCAGACTTCAGTTTCAGCAGAACAATTCAGAGAGCACAATAGTCCCCAGCAAAGGCCAAGACCGGAAACCRGGAAACCTGGTGTAAGTTACTCGCCCAGGTGCGTTTGGACTGAAGACGGGAGATCCAGGCAGGACGGTGGAGGAAGACCCCCGTGCTCCGGTGCACAGTGTTGTTACGTTTCACGTGGTACAACTGAGTAAAACCAAACGTGCAAACCAGTTCTTTGTTTCTGATTCCTTTCAGGGGAATTGCATGCAAAGCAGACCGAAAGAAATACAAACTTCCATTCAGTTTGTCTATGAGCAGTGTTTCAGGGGAGAGGGGGGGGATATATTATTTTTTTTTAATAAACTATTTCAATTATTTAATTCTAAAAGTTAACTTAGCACAGAAATGAGGCTTTTGCAGCCTGTTTTATACTCACTGAATGGCAGAAGGAAGAAGGTGGTTTTGCTAGATAAATGGGGGAAGAATTGGCCAGTTTGCTTTTTTTTTTCTCCCAGGGTGTGATTTTTTTTTAATATGAAACAAAATTCCTGTTCTGTGTGCCAAGGTATAAAGTTGAGAACTTAGATGAATGCAAGGAATTAATTTGTGTTGTGATAAATGTGTTTTAAAAAGTTGCACTATCTTAATGTTTTAAAAAAATATATATGAGGGAACTGTTTTATGTGAAGTTCTTCTATATGTTGTCGTTTCACCTGTGGAATAAGGATAGAGCCCCAGAAGTAATCTGGAGGAGATTTCCCCCTCCCCCCGGGTTTGCTAGAAGATGGGGACAGGACTTAGCCTAACATCTCTTGACTTTTACAATTCAAGAAATACAGGGACACTTGTCTTTGCAATAATTTGCATTCAAATAACAGTGTATCAATGAAGTGTCTTGGAGACTTTTGGATGGAAGAAGGCAAATATGAAATCCCAGCATTTTCCATCACTTGAGGTTTAGCTATTTTGCAGTGTAGACTATTTGTTTCATAAACGGTGAAAGAAAAATTCCTGGATATGTTAATTTGTATTCATTCTAACTAAGTGCTGCCATTCTTTTCCTTCTCATAATGCAGTATCGCCAGTACTTACCGTTCTAGAGATTTTTGTCCTCACTGTAGCCTGAAATGTATTTAGTCACATATCATGACATTATGCAATAAATTGTTTGAAAATGCAGGGTGGGATGTTTTTCCCCTGCACCGCTGTTCAAATACGTGAGACTGTTGTGGTTTTCGCTCTCCATTTCATCCTTTCAGATGCTGAAGTTCAGTCCTGGAGGTCCATCCTGTTGAAGTGAGGGGGGCTCTTGTGGCTCAACGCCCCCATGGTGTTTCTGCAGCAGTACCGAGAGTGCTCGTGGCAGTGGTGCCGGCTCCTGCCGCATTCCTGGCAGGGATGTGGGAGCACCAGGAATTYTCCCTGCAAACCATTTTGCTCTGGGCCCTGTTGCGGAAACGCCTCTGGGTGCGTGAGAGCTGCGTGACGCCAGCAGGACTGCGCTCGTGGGTAAAGGTGACTCATGTATTAACCAAGTGTCTGTAAGCCCTGCTTCTTGCTGTGCTGGCTGGAGAGTAGTTGGGAAGTGTTACCTGCCCGTGTGTGGCACGTAGGGTGTTTCTTCACTGGCTGTTCCTGTGTGGAAGTGCGCGCGGTGCCGGAACTCGGCTGACAAATGGTGATAGTGGCATCACAAGCACATGAAAAAGCACAAATTGCACTTAAAATGCATTTTGGAAATGGACTTAAAAGTAAGAATCTTTAGAGTCTTAGCTTGAATAGTTTCTAATATATAGGTGTATGAGTGTCATAGACCTTTTCACTTTAAGATCTTTCACTTTTTTCTATTTTCCCGAGCCTTGTGCTTGGTTGCGGKCAGCAGCCGCTGAGTGCCCCAAGGGCACCGATGCCCTGGTCCCATGGCTGGAGGCTGGATTTCTGCAGGACTTCTCTACACCGGGGGCTCTGATAACTGAAGTGCATCTTTGATCTATGCAGAGTTTTAATGCCAAAACAGTGTGTGTGTGYGYGTGTGTGTGTGTGTGTGTTTTGGGCCTCAGTGTAGATTTGTTTTCTTCATACAGTAGTTTGGTTTTATTCTGGTTTAGAAAACATTTGTGTAGCTGTTAGTTCTCAATACACAGCCCCATTTGTCTCTCTAATTGTTACTTTGGTCTGAGTCATGCTGGTAATGCAGAGTARAGCTGCCTTTTATTGTATGTATTAATTGAAGGGAGAGATAGAGATTGTATGATGGGATTCACTTTTTTTTCTCTCAGACCCCTAGGACAGGTGTTCAGAAGATTACTAGGTGGCTTTCAGTCAGCTGGGGCTCTCATCAATGTCTGGTTCCTGGGAATAAAAGCTGTGAAATTAGATTTTTGCAAACAACCTATGAATATAATTCWTAGTTAAAAACAACAAACAAAACCCAACCAGAAGACAAAGCCAGCARATGTTGGTTTTGGTCTTCAGTGATTCTTGTCACTTCAGAAGTGAGCCTTTAAGCCAGAGATTGTGTGTGCCTACAGAGATACTGTGCTGTTGCCTAAATGAGGATTGTTTAGCCGAGAAGCCTTCAGGTGAGAACAGCTGGAACTCCCTTCTTGTGGCAGAGCACACCTGCACTGAGCCCTGGGCTTGGGCTGGTTCAATACCAACTTTCCCCATGTGCAGATCYCAGCAAAGTGAGCCTTGAAGTTGCCTTCAAAGTCACCTCTTGGGAACGTACTTTATTTACAGACAGCCGTTTGCTATCTTCTGCCCTCTCTGCATGCCAGTGGATTTATGCACTTACCATTAACATTGTCCAGGATGCTGTCTCTTAATTTTTCTTGGCTGAGAATATTTTTCTGCATGGAAATCATAATCTTTTCCAGTTATTTCGAATAGATTCATTTAAAAATAACTTAGTATTTGCTCACCTAGAGTTGCATCTCCTCTTGCACCTTCGTCTTCTCATCCAAGAATCATAGAACATGCTGAGTTGGAAGGGACCCATCAGGATCATTGAGTCCAACTCCTGGCCCTGCACAGGGCACCCCAGGAGTCACCCCATGTGCTTGAGAGCACTGTCCAAATGCTCCTCGAACTCTGTCAGGCTGGTGCTGTGACCACTTCCCTGGGGAGCCTGTTCAGTGCCCAGCCACCCTCTGGGTGAAAAACCTTTTCCTGATACCCAGCGTAAACCTCCCCTGATGGCTTAGGGCCATTTGCTTGGGCCCTGTCACTGGTCAGCAGAGTGAGGAGAGGGGTGGCTGCCCCTCTCTTTCCCSTCAGGAGGAAGTTGAAGTCTGCAATGAGGTCTCCCCTCAGTCTCCTCTTCTCCAGGCTGGACAAACAAAATAACATCAGCCACTCCTCATATGGTCTCCCCCCGAGGCTCTTCATCATCCTCATGGCCCACCTTAGGACACTCTCTAATGTTTAATATTCTGCTTTTCCAAATGTRATGTGCAGACAGTACCTCTCAGCTCTGGGAGATAAGTCCCTGGTTTACTTGCTGTAGGTGAGCTTGCAATCTGCTGCTTCTGTTTTGGGGCCTCTTCTAGCAGTAAATGGCTGTTTTCTGATGGCTCTTAGTGCTCTCCAATGGAACAGTGTAACATTGAAATACTGTGTGTTTTTCTRTTCTGTTGAAGTGAGGGAGAATCTGCCCTTGACAACAGAATGGTAAAAGAAATACCAGAATTAGACAGTGCTATCAATCTTTACAGGCTTAGAAATTGGTGAGCTCCGAAGATAGGTAATTCTATGAAGTATTTATGGAAGATGCTCTTTGAAAAATGGCCAGAATTAATAGGCTGTATTCCAGAGCCACTCARTGAAACCTTGTATGAATTATAAAAGATTTCTGCAAACATTGTAGTATTAATTGTGTAGATTTTACCTCCATACTGCTGTTCTGGTTTATGTGTGTCATGCACAAACCCCACATAATATGTATGTGGTGTTTTTTATGTGTTGGATCATATTTGCCTGAATTCTGGCTGCATCTTCTGACTGCCCAGTAACCAGTGTTCCCAAAATTCAGTATAGTGACGTCCCTACTTTAGAAATTTCCAGGTTAAAAGATTATTTTTTATTTTAAACGTACCTTTATGAAATAAAACTTTGTGACCTCTATCCTACTGTAAAGGTTAGTTTTTCCATTATGTGGCTTGGCATAACTCCCTTCTTGATGCTAAATACGCCCCATCTTTGGTGTTTCCATATGATCTTTCAGGGCTAGAAAAGGCAGGAGGTTTAGCAACAGAAAAAAAAAGGTTTCTCTCCCTGTTTCCCAGTGAGGCACTTGTCACTCAGCTCTAATTCTGCACCTGTGTTTGTCATGGTTGTGGATGGACTCCTGTCAGTGCTGGACAAGCAGACTKTGATGCTGCTAAAGGATRTGAGTTMGGGATGTGAAGAGGGGYATTCAGCCAACAGCWCAGTGTTCRGATCCCTTTCCTGGAGTGTGTGGCRCATGCAGGATTCACAGTACTCTGCATAATGGGATGTTTGCATCWGGGAGGATGTGCTTAGGATGCTCCTGCTCTTGTCACTGATGAACTCTGCACTTAGCTCAGTCTCAGGCTGACGGGACTTTATTACAGCATGATTTTTCTTTGTTAAYATGAAGACTCAAGCACATGCCCCATGTACAAGTTCTTGATGGCTAGTGAGGAAGGTGTTTGCATTCCTTGAGTCATGGAATCTGCAGGAACCATGGGTTAAGCTGTGCTTCATTTGGCTTTTTATTACTGCTTGCCCRCTTCTCCCACCAGTTTGTCCCAGCTGGAAGCTGCCTCTGTTATGCCAAATCTCTGAATGTTCTCATTGCAGATACATTTTTTTTTAAGTGTTGCTGAAAGTTCTTTTTTTCTTCTGTGAATGGGGTGCAGGGAAAGGTAAGGAGCAAAATTACATTGTTTATTAAGGAATGCATTTCTTTGCAATAGGGAAGAAATCCTTGTCCTGTTGGASAGCCCCATATGGAGGCTGTCTGGAACAGTGCTGTCTGAGGCGGTCATTTCTGCCAGAGAGTGAGATATTGGACCTTAAAACTGACACTCTGATCTGTAAGGAATGTTTGAATGTTTTGGAGAAGATTGACTGCTAACCTTTCTCTGACTCTATCCCTGAACGCTCGTGGTAGCTAAGGTAACCTGATTTCATAGGCAAAGAAAAACAAAAGTGTGATGGTGAAAAACAGATAAACATCAGTATTTTTCTTTGCCTTCCTCCCCGG